GCGAGGTAGCATTCTGTCTGTTCATCCTCTACTACGTGGTGGAGGAGGTGCTGGAGATCCGCATCCACCGCCTGCATTACTTCAAGTGCCTGTGGAACTGTCTGGATGTTCTCATTGTCGTGGTGTGTATCAAAGTCGTACTCCGGATTATTAAAGTTAGATCATAGTAATTTTAACAAGACTGACAAAGTTTGTTGTCTGCTCTTTTTCTCCAGTTGAGTGTTGTCGCCATAATCATGAACATAACCAGAACAGCCATGGTGGGCAACCTTCTGAAAGGCCTGTTGGAGAACCACAGCGCTCACCCCAGCTTTGAGCCTTTGGCCAACCTGCAGGTCCAGTTCAACCACGTGGCTGCGGTCATCGTCTTCTTCTCCTGGGTCAAGGTATGAATCTGTACCATTTGCATCATAATCAATCCAAAAATACCACACTGTATACATAAAAACCAACTGGCGGCCAACAGGACTGAAAAATGAAGCCAATGTTTAAGTGTCAAAAACTGCAGTTCCTCTAATGGCCACTTGAGGCTGGCTCCAAAAGTGAGTCAATCCTCATAGACCCCCATGTTAAAATATGCAAGTAAACATGTTTACAGCCTGGAACAAAAAAAGGTTTGGGTCTCTACAGCTAATTTCCTGTTTCATGACAACTGTATTTGGGGTGAGTTTTTAAGTAACTCAGCTATTTAAATATTATTAAGACTTAAAAGTCATGCATAGTTAGGGGCGTGGTCACTTTGAGAGACAGGTGGGTGTCGTCTTATCGCTAGTCTCTACAACAGCAGTAATGTTGTTAATCATTACGTAACCCCAGATTCACTGAGTGTTGGCGTAGCCATAGCCATCAATATTACTGCGTTTGCAGTTAATAAAAAAAAATAACTTTAATGTTTTGGTTACCTAAAAAAGTCATGTTCAGCGTTGGATATTCAGTTTTTCCAGTAACTACATTTTGTATTTAATTTGCCAAAAATTAACATTAGCATTATCACTGTTAACCATAGCAGTAAATGCACTGTGCCAATCAAGCTAGCGGCTAGCATTGGGAATGGCTCCACCCTTTCGTTCAAATTTGGTCTGGCTCCAAAAATCCAAGACGTCGACAACCAAAATGCCAAACCAATGGATGACGTCATGGTGGCTATGTCCATTATCTTAAACAGTCTGTGATAAGAACCCAACTACAGTTCTGTGAAGTCCACTAATCCTCATAATTATGCTCCTCCTCTCAGCTCTTCAAGTTCATCAACTTCAATAAGACCATGAGTCAGCTGTCCGGCACCATGTCTCGCTGCGCTAAGGACCTTGTGGGTTTTGCCATCATGTTCTTCATCATCTTCCTGGCATATGCTCAGCTCGCCTACTTGGTGTTCGGAACCCAAGTCAACGATTTCAGTACCTTCCAGGCCAGCATGTATGTGATTCAAAGTATAGTCCTCAAATGTACAAACACCACCGTCAGCTGATGTTTCCTGTTGTTTAAAAATGTTGTTTCTGTTTGTGTAGTTTTACTCAGTTCCGCATCATCCTGGGAGACTTTGAGTTCTCAGAAATAGAGGAGGCGAATCCAGTGCTCGGACCCATCTACTTCACAACCTTTGTCTTCTTCATTTTCTTCATCCTCATGGTGAGTCCGGTGTAGTCACGTTTGTTGTTGTTTACACGCACACCCTCTAACACAACACCTTTTCTTATTCTCTCCATACAGAACATGTTCCTGGCAATCATCAACGACACATACTCTGAGGTGAAGGCCGACATGTCTCAGCAGAGGTCTGAGATGGAAATGACTGATCTCATTAAGAAGGTATTGAACTACATGTATTATTCATGTCGGCCGGGCAGATTAAATCCATTAAATCAACAGCAGCTGCTGCAGCAATAACGACAGAGCAGCTCCAGAAGCTACTCCAGATATTGCAGTTTTTGGGTCTGGTTGCATCTATGCGCTCACAGATACAGATATTGGAAAAATTTAATGAGAACAGATATTAGAAAAGAGTATTAGAAAATAGCAGGATTTCTGCCAGTAAAGGTGTTAGTGGAGTGGTTAGTTGTTCTCCCTGAAGCTTGATATAATTCATAAAACGGAAATAATTTCCTCCGGTGTGAGTAGAAGTCTCAAATTGATTCTCTGCAGGAAACCTAGAGTGTGTCAGCTTCACAACATGTGATACAGAGTGACGTATCTTTATGACAATGGAGCAGAAGCACTGGATAGTACAAGTGTGGTTTGTGTACCGTAAACTGTAACCGGCTTCTTTAGGTTGCTCCAAATGTAAGTATTCTTCTCTCTTAGGGTTGTAACAAAGCTTTGATGAAGCTGAGACTGAAGAAGACAGCAGTAGACGACATCTCCGACAGTTTGCGTCAGGCCGGGGGCAAACTGAACTTTGATGAACTCCGCCAGGATCTTAAAGGGTGAAGAAAACTGAAAGATAAAACTCGAAACTATTATATTATTTGAGTTTACTTCTGTATTTGTCAAACTCATACTGTGCTTTGACCTTTTTCCTTGCTCAGAAAGGGCCACACAGACGCAGAAATTCAAGCCATCTTTGCCAAGTACGATCACGACGGTGACCAGGAGCTGACGGAGCACGAACACCAGCAGATGAGAGACGACCTGGAGAAAGAGAGAGTGAGTGATGATGCCAGCAGCAACACGTGGAAAAACACAACACACCCTGCATGTATGTGGTCATTCACACTCAGCCACAGCACCTGCAGATGTTCAGTGTGTCTCTGCTCGCTCGCCAGGAGGACTTGGAGCTGGAACGCAATTCGCTGACCCGACCCAGCAGCGGGCGGAGCTTCCCTCGCACCCAGGATGACTCAGAGGAAGACGATGATGAGGACAGCGGCCACAGCTCTCGTCGTCGCGGCAGCAGCTCAGGCGGTGTCTCCTATGAAGAGTTTCAAGTGTATGGAGCTTTTATTATTACATTTTATTATACTGTAACTTTACTGTTAATCAGTGAATGAAAGCTGAGCTAATAACTGATGAGTAATAAAATGTCATAGTCATACATATGCAGTTTATATACACACATTTGAGTTTTTCATTTTAATCTGAATGATTCTTACTGTAGTACATTTACCATGTAAAATAATAAGGGAACTAACCGCTCTGTGTTTCTCAGTCTGGTGAGACGTGTGGACAGGATGGAGCACTCGATCGGCAGCATAGTGTCCAAGATAGATGCTGTGATCGTGAAACTGGAAACCATGGAGAGAGCTAAACTCAAAAGGAGAGATGTGCTGGGCAGGCTGCTGGACGGAGTCATGGAGGTGAGAGGCAGTAGAGACAGTCAGTAGCTGTGCGTTTACACACACTTAAAGCTGCGATAATAAATGTTAAATACACATGGGTTTGAATCTGAAAGAAACAAATACACTATTAGAGCTTCAGTCAAATTAAATAAATGTCCATCTTAATAAGGGTAAATAATGCTCAGTTAAAATTATACACAGGATAAACCAAAGAGAAAGAAACTGCTTACCAGCACTCTTGTCCCATGTGACGATGAAGAAAGAATGAGTGAAATGGTGTTCATGGTTTAAATAGGGGTGAACTCAGTCAGGTTAATGAGTGAACAAAGAGTGAACGGAGCCAATCACTGCTGAGGAAACGGCGGAAAGGAAGTGTCAAAATAAAGCATGAGTCATATATATCTACATGCTGTGCAAATCTGTTGCCATAGAGTCTGCCATGTTGTTTCTACAGGAGCCCAAAACAGACAAATCAAACGCTAGCACTAGATAGGGCTGTTTGTATTTTTGTGTCAGACACACAGGAGAAGTTTCAGTTGGTTGCAATCCCCAACCTCACCACTAGATGTCACTAAATCCTACACACTGGGCCTCTAAGTAACTGGCCTACAGCCTGCTTTCCACAATAATCTGACAAATTAATTATCTCATAAGATATGTGATTCCCACAGCTAGATTCCTCCAATCTGTTTTTGTCTGTCAGGATGAGCGCGTGGGACGGGACACAGACGCCCACAGGGAGCAGATGGAGAGGCTGGTGAGGGAGGAACTGGAGCGCTGGGAGTCTGACGATATGGCCTCACAGATCAGCCACCCACAGCCGGCCACTCCTGTTGGCCCAAGGCCTCGCCCATCCTCCTCTTTGTCCACTGACGGCCTCGACACAAACGGGAGCAGCCATGTGTGAGGAGGACTTGGCCCGATGAAGGATATTTCACTCTGGCAAGAAACTCTTCACTTGAAGTTTCCCTGCAGCGATACAAGTAACTGAAGAGGTGGGACCATTTTTGCAGAACAAAGTAGCATTACAAAGGAGGTGACAGAATCAAACGCACCTCACCTCAGATACTTCAATGCACTGACAGTTCTTCTGTGAGACATCTATGAGTATTCACTAAAGCTATTATCAAGTATTACTTTCACAGGATGATGAAGGGAAACATGAGAATGTGTGGTAGAGACTTTTACAAAGGATTTACAGCACAGTGTTCCACAGTATTTCATATAACACACCATCCTCAGCACACTCAGCGTGATTTTAGTATTACATGAGAAATATCTCACCTGCTTCTGATTACTGTATCCACACATCGCAGCATTTACACAAACACCAAAAAGAAGTTTCTATGACTGTTAATTATGCTGATTATTTGTTCTTTCATCATTTTAATACGCAGTAGGTATAAGTGTGGCACATTCTGTCATATTTACTCATCCTCTGTACGTCAATTAAGCTTCAGATTAAATAGCTTATCATCATTTTATGATACATATTGTAACTTGAAACAAACTTCGATTTGGAGTGCGACTAGTGTTCATGGGAAACCCATGCATTTATTATTATTTTCTCCTGTGCCTTACTTTTTTACAATCTATTTCTTTTTTTAAAAATCTCTTATGCCAAATAAAGGTGTTAATAAAATATAAGCTTGTTTTTTTTTAAAAATTAGATTTTAATCAGAGCCAAATCAGTAATGCCTTTTCCTGGTATACAGAACAATGTGATCTACTGACCTCATCTGCAGTTTATTGAATGTAAATGCTCTTTTATAATATTATGATCACATTTCCTTCATTGCTGATGCTTATAGTTGTACAAATATATAAAACCTAGTGAAATAATATAGTTTTTGTGTATAATGATAAAAAAAATATATACTTTTATTTGATTTTAGGCCCTAGGATACCCTAGATAAGTTATGCAACATTAAATTTACAACTGTAAATGTACACCACAGGAATCCGTTCAAAAATGTGTCTGCTGATGTACAAATACTGTACTATTTAATTTAAGTATTCAGTTACACTTACAGAAATAGACACAAAATTATGTTATTTTGGTCGCTGTATTTAGCTGCAGTTTTAAAGTTTATAGTTTATAATTAGTTGTTGAAAGAACACCTTTAAAAAAACTTCCATGGAAACTATCCCGAAATTACAGACCTGTAAAGTGTTGCCAAGAATTTTTTAAGTAAGATAATTATCCAAAACTTTACTGACACTTACATACAATTGCTGTATGTCAACATCAGAACACACCGTACTGAAAGAAAAATGCAAAGTCTGGTGTTAAGTGAAAATGTTTATACATGTTTTCAAAAAGCTGCATCAGAACATAAATGTGTGTATAGACTTTTTTTTGGTAACAACAAAAAAATACACATACTAACAATGTATGTGATATAATTCTACAATATCTACAGTTATAAAAAAAAAAAAAATCAGCGCTCAATTACAGTTAAGAAAGATTCAGTAATTGTACAAAAGTTGAATTATCAGGATTACTGAGTTACAAAAGTACTGAAAAAAGGCATAATCTGATTTTAAAATAATACTGTAAATGTAAATATTCATAAATAAGAAACACATCACACATAATCACGTCAATGTTGTGTGAAAATCTTGAAACGACTGTCAGAAAACTCTCTGTCGGGCTTTAAAATCACTTCAACACTGTGAAAAATAAAGAACAGTTATTATTAGCTCCTAAAAAGTTTTTCAGAGACAAATGATTTTCACCAATGACAGTTACACTCATGTTTACATTTAGGTATGTATTTTACTCAAACAGTTTGACATTTTGGGAAAAATTGTGTATTTGCTTAGAGTAAGATGAGAAGATCAATACTCATATCTGTTCATTAAAACTGCTAATTAAAGCTAATTAACATTTTTATAATTTAAGAATGAAACACACTGTTAGAAAGTAATTGGTTTTGGTTTTAAGTCACGCAGCTTTACTGTTATGGTTGACTCTCATGCCATGACTTTTGGACACAGCAGACTGTCTGCTGGATGAGTAAACAGGCTACTGTTTGCTAACACGTTCACCATAACAACTTTATAAGGAGATAATATGTAAACATTGTGTTAAGGCTACTTTAGCTTAGCATAGAGACTGGTGGCAGGGGCAAACAGCTAGCCTGACTCTTGTCAAAGTTAAAAAATACGCTCTAAAGCTAAACCAGCAGTCTGTGTTTTAATACTGAGATACATGCTGCAACTATTGCCTGGCAAATGACAACCAGACACTTTGACTTCCCAGAGTCTTATTGTCACAGTGAGGTTTCCAGGCAACCAACAGAAATGCTGTGCAGAAGTGCTTTTTACATTTCTGTTTGTGTAATGATTAAACAAACAACATACGAGTAAGCTTTAGCTGTGGAAGATCTATTAATGAACTTTGAACTAAGTCAGTCAGCTGTTTCCTCCTTGCTTTAAATCTTTACGCTAAGCTAAGCTAACTGCCTCCTGGCTCTAGCTCCACACTCACACTCCACACTTGGTGCTCCTTTTCTGTTTGCACGTATGTGAATTAGGTAATATGGATATATTATGCCACAGTCTGCACAGTAGCTATCACTGCTATGCTGAGTACCAATCGCGGCCACCACACATAGCCAATCAATCTGTCGTCAATCTGTCGTCAATTCCTCTAATTAAAACCAAAACGCATCAGAAAAATCAACACTTGAACACACAGCATCCTGATAACAACTACCTAAAATGACTTTATGGGCATGTTTGCGCTGTGATATCACTTGCGTAATATCCTCAATCTGTTCTGTGAACTGGCCTGATAGAGTGGTATCAATCATCTCATCTTACTCCATGTAAAAAGAAGGTACAGTATGTGTCTTTCCCAAAATGTCATACTATTCCTTTACTGGTGAAATTCTTTTTGAACATCTACCTGCCTGGTTCCTTGAAGACAACAATAAAATATACATAATCACACATTTAAGTGAACTTCTTGATGTAGCGGAGTTTCAGGTAAGCAATGATGAGGAATATGAAGGTCATTGCGGTCAGAGCCATGTGATTCTCCCACAGTCCCCAGGTGGTGTACTCTATTCCCAGGTAGTCCAGATACTGCTCACCTGTACATCTGAAATAACACCAGTCAATGTTACAATCAATGTCTGAGCTGTTTGTTTTGTAGGTCATAAATGAGGCATGGTGAAGTAGCTGGATTAGAAATGTCATACTGCAGGTCTACTCACGTCAGGCCGACTGTGCTCACACTGCAGTTTGTCACTGTAGCCGACATGTTGGTGTTTCGGATCACAGCCTCGTCACAGAACTTCAAACCCACAAACTCGTTGATCTTCAAAGCCTGAGCAGAGATGACATCATCAATGAATGCTGAGCAGATATCAAAGTTACAAAATGTGCACTGTACAACTCTTTTCATTTTAAAACAGATATATATTTTATATGTTTTTAACTTAAAATTTCTATTTTATGACCATTTTTATTTTACTTTGTTTATTTTGCACCAAAATACCAAGGCAAATTATTTGCAGCAAATGAACATCCCAGTATTTTATCAGGTGCACTGGCTAGAACACAACCAATACTGAGAAAGCTGCCTACACACTGGTGAAGACACGACATACAAACATCAGAGAAAAAATATAATTTGGTGGCATCAATTCCTTTCTCTATAACTATAAACATACAGGTATTATTGCTTTCACTGCAGTCCTTCCTGTCATAACGTTCCTTTTACTGTGACTTACTGCGAGGCCGTAGCGAGGAATGCTGAAGTACTTCAGCCAGGCCAGCCAATCCATGATGCTGGGCAGGTTCACCAGGAGACCTGAGAAAATCTGAAAACACAACACAAACTCAAGGTTTTTTAACAGCTGACATTTTGACGTCACAGCAGGAAAAAGCTGCACTGACACATCTAAACTGAACAGCCTTAAACTAATGTTATTAGTGTTACCTGTGATTTTCCTGCTATCAGAAACTAGCTTTCTAGTTCAATTAATTATACTAACTTCCAACTGAGTGTACCTGAAACATATTTAGGTGCATCTCAGTGTTTTTCTGTCTCTCACCATCATGAAGACAAACGTAATGGTCATGAAAATGTTGGCAAGAGCCACGACACACTGGTCAGCTGAGATGGCCATGGTCATGGCTGTGGCTGTGTAGGCCACCAGAGTCACTGTCAGCGTGAAGATGAAAAAGGCTGCAGCTGTGGATTTAAGCCCTGAGTGAAGACACACACAAACACACACACATTTATCTAAAGATTAAACACAGAGCAATCTGCATTTAAATTCAGTATTTGCTCAAATATTGAAACCTCGAGCACTGCACAGATGAATGAGTTTGTAGATCAGTCAGTCTTACCGATCATAAAGTAGACTATACAGCTGAAGATGAGGGAGGTGATGGTGCGCAGAGTGATGTCAGACAGTATCTTAGAGAGGAAGTAGACAGACACTCTGTAGTAGCCGCTGATGTACTCATGCCTGTCACAAGAAAACACAAACAGAAATCAAATCCCAGCTCTACACACTTAATCCAAATTTATGTTGCATCATCCACACAGATTCTGTCCTGTACGACATGCTGACAGATTACATACACAAACAGTTTCCTCTCGATGATGAAAAGCTCAGCTGCAGACACAGTGCTGAAACACTGGTTGGTTGTGATGAAGAAGAGGGCGCCCATCCTGTAAGAAGAACAGCAAAACAAAACCCAATCATTATTTTCTCTCCACATTTTAACAGGAGAGAAGCACTATTTTGGAAACAGACTTGAGTACAACACCTGCATGGCTACGAGTGCAAGTGGCAATTCAGACAACAGCGACATCACAGCACAGTGCTGCTGATATTTTTTATATAATTTATATGACAGAGTTGTAAAAATAAATCAGTACCGATTCCGACTGAAAAAAGATCTCGTTTTATGCAAATTGTGCCCGCCAGGTCTGAAAAAACAAGTCCCACCTTATGCCACATCGACAATGATTTTGAGGCAACACATAGAAATGAGTGTGAACTAATTCATTTTAACGTGTGAACTAAACTTTGTGTGAACTTGCACAACACTAGCTATGACTACTTGCCCGCCAGAAGAATAGTTTAGCATTTTGGGAAATAAGCTCATTCACTGTATTGCTGAGATGAGAGGACTGATGCCACTCTCGTGTCTGTACAGTAAATATGAAGCTACAGCCAACAGTTGCTTATTTTAGCTTAGCACAAAGAGTGGAAACAGCTAGCTGGGCTCTGTCCAAAGGTAACAAAATACAAACAAGGACAAAGATTCTGTTAGTAGTCTTAAAGAAGTAGAAATCCCATAAAATCAAAACACTCACTAGTCTGCATGTACCTCAATACTGTGCTTAAGTAGAGTACATGAAAACTGTCCTTAGTTATATTCCACTACAGCTAAGTTTAACTCTAATGAGACATGTTATGTAAATTAAATAGCTTTGCCTATTATGCTAACAAAGAGTTGACTCTAAAGAGAGAGCTGGCTAAAGAACAGCCAGATTATAGTACTTAATGTGGTGTGGTCCGTATGTACGTACAGGGACTTAAAAGGTGACTGACTCCACTACAGCCCTGCACCCAATGAAAAGGAGGGACGGCTGAATAACTTGAGGCATTTAAGCCGCATTCACCACAGTCTGCCATACTGCCTATGCATTGACCATGAATATAATGACATTAGGTCCTTATATTCCACTGAAGCATGCACAAAGAGAAAGAGGGAGACCATTGAGTTTTCTGATGTGCTTCACTGGACTTGTGAGTACCAGGTTGTGCCCAATAAAACACAGTAAGAGGATTAGTTACGCAGGAATTAAAAGCAAGTGACTGGCTTATAAACCTGAACAATTGTTAGGAAACATGTTGCAATAATCAATATGCCCATGAGAGACAGCCACATGATCTAAATATTATCCCTGTGTGCACATTATGACAGATGTACAGATTATTATAGCCGTCATACTGCTGAAGTTAGACAAGTCAGCCCTGCTGCAGTGAATAGTTTTAAATTAGTATAATTTCCCTGGAAGAGGAAGAGGAGGTCTGCACCAATGAGGAAAACTGTGAGATTAGGTAAATTACTCAAATGACAGTTTAGTGATAGCTGGGTGTTCTTTTGTTTATTATTACATAATGTATTCTTTATTTTTATTTAATTATTGAAGTCATGTCTGAAATGTCTTCAAAATGTTTTAATGCCTGAATGAAGCCAAATTTAAGTGCACTGAGTCTTAAAAATTCTACATCAGCCTAAAAAAATCCACTGTGTTAGTTTTTCATTGTAGAATGATCTAATTTTTCCTCAGGTTGCTAAAAAACACAGATTCCAACATAAAACACAGAGGACATGACCTTGTTGTCCACGATAGCAACTACCACCCTCTGTGCACAGTAAATATATCAGGTTGGGTGTTCGGATGTTAAAAAAAAGCAGATTTCGGACGGCATGTGCAGCATGTACCTCAGCAGGTCTCTCACCTGTTCTGGATACCACTCTGATCGTCTTTGACCCCGAAGAAAATGGCGCCTACGATGAGGGCAAGGAAAATGTGGACTCCCAGCTGCACAGACACAAACATGAGAGACTTTAATAGAAGCAGTGACAACCATCAAGAAAGACCTGCTTGTACAATTCGCATATATTAGTCCAATATCATTTCAGTGTCTAGAAGAGCCGCACAATTAAATCATCTTATCACCATTCAAGTTACTGGAGGGCTATATTGGAAGTTAGCCACTTGGCAAGCAAAGTCTCTAGTGCGTCTGCTCTGTGGACCCAACAATGCGGAAGATCCGGGTGATTGTACACATGGGAAGTTTAACTTCTTTGGCTTCATGCGCCACTGACCAACTTTCATAGGAATGAACAGGGCCCAGTCCCCAATGCTGTGTCCAGTTCTCTTTACACATCTTAAACATCAATCACAAGGTAGCCACACCCTGAAGCATACCCTGATTTATTGTAATTTTTACTCTACGTGTGACCATAATATACAAAATGAACATCATGCTGCACTGAAGAAAACTTAAAACTAGTGATTGAAAACATCAACTCATTAGGAAAATGTTTATTGGGGTAATAAATCAAGTGAGAAGTGGGCCATGTTCTCATAGACTTCTATTAAATCAGACTTCTTTTGCAACCAGTGGAGTCGCCTCAGTTCTTCTAACTGTGGACTGTTATAAATTATTTTAGATGAATGGGGGGACAACAGAAAAGAGTGAGAAAAGTGAAAGCGACACAAGTTTTAATCCTAACAATTTACAGATTATGACGGGACTAAGCGGTTCCCAGGGTGAAGGGATAAGCTATTAAGGTTGAGCCTCTTTCACCTCATTCCCCACAGCCCTTCATGTGAAAGCGGGGCAGTGGAGTGATAGGTCATGATGCCATCATGTGATGAGTCCAGGACCGGGGCCAAGGGGCTTTGGCCAGATATGATATCAGTTCAGATCCTGGCCCTAAGAGGCAAGAGTGGGGTCACAACAGTCAGCAAAGCCGATTAACGCACCCACTCCACCTAGAGCCCCTCTTGTAGGATTATTTTGACTTATTTAGGGCCAATTAGCTGTTAATAATTCCTAAAGTGAGGAGACTTCTGACGGCATTTTGCCGCCATGGGGTGACTAATGAGAGCATTAAGTCTTGACCCCTCCAAAGTGCTGTCACTGTGTCCTGTTCAAGATGATAACAGCGCTGACATTGCTTATTTTTCTGCTTTTTTCACTTTTTGGACTGTTTGAACAAAGTAAAAGTGATATTAACATGTTTAAACTAACATAAAAACCAAAAACTGAGACGTTATCAGATCAATAATTTAGAGCTGTAGGCTTAGACCTGAGGCACATTAAAGTCACGAAAATGAGGACCTACTTAACTGTCTTGAGACTTTGACATCAGATGAATTAAATTAAATTCATTTTTTTTTTTTTTAAAAAAAATTTATATACTTTATTACTAAACAGTCAGAGCTGCTCTCCTCTGGCAAACGGACAGTTCAGAAACCGTCTTGTTAGCACAAGCTAACAGAGCAGCAGTGACCAACATCCACTACCGAGCCATTAAATAGTCCCGAACAAACTCACACCAACACCGAAACATTAAACCCGTTAATAATTTACAACATTAGCTGTGATGCCAACAGTTAGCCCTGTCACTGTATGTGTGTGTGGTCGGGCGGACTACTACAGCAGGCCCAGTGCTGAGCACACATTCCTACAGTAGCAGCTACAACCTATACAGTCTGCTTTAGACTTTAAATTCATGACTGTCATATTTTTACCACAGATGATGAGTTTTGTGTTTAAAATGAGTAATGGTGATGTATACCTGGGCCACAGATGTTTGAGGGTTCAGCATGAGGTTCTGAAAGGTTCTCTTAAGAACCCAACGTAGCTGGTGGAAGAAGGAGCTGTTGTAGGTGATGGTGCGGGACTTTGAACATGAGATACACTTCTTATCCTGGACGATGCGGTCCAGCTCAGCTCTCGTGTCACTGGAGTAGCTGCTGTTCTTGTATTCCTCCACCAGGCGCTCCTCGATGCTCTGCCTGGAGCCACTGAAATCCTCAAAGTCCAAATCTGCCCAGAGGAGATACAGGAGGAACATCACAGATTGAAGTATTGTAAACAGTCTTCCCTAAAGACACCAATAATCCCATAAAGCACTGGATTAACAAAATCTTGGTCTCAGTTGTTTTCAGAAATATGTTTTAGTGTACTGTTTAGCTTTAAAATGAGATAGCTGGTCCAGCCTGGGGGAGGTGCTTGGTACTCCAGTCAACTGTCTCCAACATGGAGGCTGGCTTGTAAACTTTCTCATTTTACAGCTAAACAGTACACTAAAATGTGTTTCTGAAAACATCTTACGGGAGAAATAGACAATGCAGTAACAAATTCTTGCTTAAGACACCATATTGACAGCAGTATTCATGCTACGGTGTATGAATGGTGTTACCTTCTGAGCCGTGCACTTTGGTCATGGTCGTAGCCGTGGAGTCTCCATTAATAACATCCAGAAAGAAGTCTGCTGGGTTGTTGTGGGGCTCACAGGGAAAGCCTGAGACACAGATCACAATGATCAGTGTTTAATATCAGAACATGCTTTATCAAGTTTTTTTAATTGCCTGATTTATTTACTGCCATGTATGAGAATAACGCTGCACAACCACCTACGTTTATTTCCAGGTGACATTAGAAACATCAGGAATGGTATAACAATGTCAAATGGTATGTTGTATTGATAACAACTTTCCACATACTCACCAATGTTGGCGAAGTAGTCCAAAGCGTTTGGCGCTGGTCCGTGGTACACCATTTTACCACCCACCAGCAGAGTCAGAGTGTCAAATAGTCTGTAGATGGAGTATCGTGGTTGGTGGATGGACATGATTATTGTTCTTCCATGACTGGCCATCCTGAAAAGACACATAGTAAAACATAAACTAATATAAAAACAATAAAGATGCCTTGTAATTGCAAAAAAAAAAAAAAAGAAGTGGTAGAACAAGATTTTTGATATTTCTTATGTGCTAAGTTCTGCCTTTCTGCTGTCTTCAGTATACTGCTAAAATACAACAAATTGATTGTTGACTTCAAAAAATTAAAAGGAAATTATTTCTAATTCTTATATTAAATAAACTGAACACTGAATCAAACACAAAAGGCGCCAACAAATAAAGGATAATTACATTTCAAAGTGAAGTTTTTCTACCAATACTCTTTTTCAACTAACTTAAAAAATCTGAGTGCAATATCCCAGTCTCTCATGATGTGCTTATTGCACAAGCTGACATGGTGATGATGATAAAAAAAAAAGAAATACAAATTAAAAAACAATATATTGCACACTAGTGTGCAATACAAGTAAAGTCTGACTGATTGATTGAAGCCTATTAGGCTCGAAATGTATATTTAAATGACGCATTTAAAGCCAGAATCCTTTCCTCTGGGAAAAAAAAAAAAAAAAAAAAATCAAAGCAGTGCTGCAATACATATGATGGACAGAGACCAAAAAAGTAAAATATCCCTTCAAATAATGAGGAATTCTCTTCCTGCATCATCAAGAGCATACAGAAACAGCACCGAACAGGACCGCAAGGCCCTGAAAAGACCGGTTCATTCAGCTGAACATACTATAGGTGCTGTTCTACCCTGCCTAAAGGACGTTTACACCAGGCACTGCAAATATATGGCCGGAAGAATCATTAAAGATCCCAACCACCCAGATAATGGCCTTTTTTCCCTGTAGATACAGCAGGCCAAAACGTTTTAAATGCACAAATAAAGCAACTGAGAGATTACATTCACTGAAATTGTATTCATATAATTTCATGTTTGCCTCCGATAACACGCTGTATCGGATTGGTACTCGGTATCGGCAGATACCTAAGGTTCAGGGATCGGAATCGGTATCGGTATCGGGAAGGAAAAAGTGGTATTGGTACATCTCTAATTTCATGTGACAAATAAAATGATTGAAATAAAAAAAAAAAAAGACATATACATGTACATATAATTTTGTTTTAAGGTTAAATTACATTTCATAGGATGTAAGTGTAGTTTTAGGGCACGGATGAAGCTTAAAACTTGACTCTGAATATAACCCATTATAAAATCAGGAGAATAACAGAGAAGCTGTTTTATTACCTTTTCAACAACAGCAGGACAGAGTTAGCCGTGCTGGCGTCCAGTCCTGTGGTCGGTTCATCCAGAAAGAGAACTGAAGGATCAATAATCAGCTCCATGCCAATGTTTGTCCTCTTCCTCTCTCCTCCAGAGATTCCCCGAGTCATCTGTGTGCCCACCTGAGGAAAACACCAACATCAGTCTGTCCTGACTCTCACCTCATGTCTTGAAGGTTGGATAAGTCATTCAGACATGTGTGTATCTTTACCTTGGAGTCAGCCACCTTGGTGAGACCCAGTTCTTTAATGAGGTGGTTGACTCGAGCCTCCTTCTCACTCTGAGGCACAGAGCTGGGCAGCCGCAGTGCTGCAGAAAAACGCAGATTCTCCCTCACAGTCAGGGTGCCCATGACCACATCTTCCTAGGAAGGGAGACAAGAGCTTGAGGTCAAAGGTCAGAGACAGAGAGGATCATTTGTTTTGTAGCTTAAATCTCCACAGACCTGTTATGCAGAGAATTGTCGACCTAACAGAGTTTAGAAAGTGGCAAACTTTGTATTTAAAGCTGCTAGCACTAATCTAATGACCTCTTTTCACTTAAAGTTACAACATAGTTTTGCTGCAGTACTTTAAGAATGAACTGGGCCGTCTGCTATGCCCAGTGTTATTTGGTCCACCTCAGCACCCCTGGTTTAAAGTATGACATAAACGACAGTTTTGGTTCAGGTCCGGTCAGGCCAGCAGATGGTGGGACAATTTTGAATGGGAACGTTATCGATGAGGAGTGAAAGGAAAACTTTTGCATGGTAAGAGCATCATTTGTGTGTTTGAGAGAGCTCCTTCTTCCTGTATATGTGTAGACGGGGCCAGTTATTTGTCTCAAGAGTTGGTAGAGACCAAACCAGGGAGTGAGTAACAGACATAAATATCAGGTGGACACAAACAAGTGATCAAAACAAACAAATCAGTGCATGCAGATTTAAGTAAATGTATGAATTCAAATGCACCTGAACCACATAGCCAGAGAGGCACTTGAAGTTTGGAGGCTGTGGTGCTTTGTCAATGAGTACTTCCCCTGAGAGACCCGATGGATCCTTTCTTGCAGCCAGAATGTCCAAAAATCTTTGAACAAAAACAACACTTAACAAGCATATCGACAACAAATGCAGGTAACTATTTTGAATACATTTTCTTCTTGAAGATCTGTGTGATACTCACGAAGATTTTCCACTCCCAGTAGGTCCAAGAATTGCGTTGAGACCCGGTCTCATAATCCCACTGCAAGACAATAACACAGAGCTCTATGTAACCAGTTTAACATGAAAAAAAGAATTCAAAGGCAAAGATTGGGACATATTTAAAGGGTCTGCATTAATTCCTATGGTGTTTAATCTAAGATTTCCACATCACAATATCACTTCTGCAATTACAAATGTTAGAAGCGTGAAACAAGTGGATTAATATGATCTTTTCTCTTAACACCTTTCCTCCCTCCCTCATCCCAAATAGAATAATGTTGATGAAAGGATTTTGCAGTTGCACAGATATCATAAACATGTCTTAAATGCTGCACATACACACAAAAAAGAATCTATACTGAGGTGTAAAAACTGAAAAGCAAATCCTTGGACTTCAGAGTGAACAGTTACACAATAGCAGAAAAAGGTCAGTGATATAAAATGGAATTAAAAGACTTGAATAAAAGCCTGACAAAGGATCACGTGACAGTGTTTAATTCGCTTCCCTGGCAGACTGCTCTTTAGTGCATCAGAGAGATTATATGCAAGAAACCATGCTTAATATCATATAATTAACACTGAGATGGGAAAAGGCCCAGAAATTTGTGTGAAATTATTCATTCTTCCATGGGAAATGTCAGCTGTGTTTAAAACCATCAGAAAGAAACAAGTGTAAGAGTCCATTCACTATTGTTCTACTTTGGGTAAGGATACAATAAGCCATATTGGATTGCTTTAACTGTAACACAGTCTCCTAAATTTAGATTTATTGTAATATATATTTATAATGATCCAAAAACTATCAATTGAACTACGTGTTTCTGAAAGTCAATTTTGGCTTGTTTGCTTAGAAAATGCTCGTAATTTATTTGAGGCAGTTTTGAGTGTGTGTTTGGTTAAGTAAGAATAAATTAGCAACAATCTGTAAAACTATATCACTAAAAATTTAATTGACTTTCTACTGAAAATAATTAGAGAAAACTACAACTGCTCAATGTGCCACAGGTCAAAAATATCTATGTATTTTTGGATATTGTTTTCCACAACAGGTGCAGGATACTAACGTGTGAGGTGATAAGATGCGTACATACAGACATGACTGACAAAGATGAACAGACAAAGAGCTTTTACAATCTTTACAACTGACTTGAGGTCAACCAGTATGTCCTTGGGACTGGTTTTCCGTTTGCAGAGGAAGCCGCTCTTCAGCTGCACTTTGTATTGGATGTTATGGAAGCTCACAGTGGAGCCACACGGCTGCTTGTTCTGGTCCATGGCTGTGACGACCTTTGACCTGGTTGTCCCGTTGGTGCCGATATCTTCTATCATTGCAATGTTGATGTGATTGGCTCTCTCCATTCTCCTGTGCAGAAAACAACCATATCAGATGACACTGATCTGATGGAAATCAATCCTTTACTAATATGTTACCAACTTATGTGACACAAAATAATATAAAATCAATCAGCAATGTATATGTCAGGGTCTCACGCGCAGCAAACGTCATATAGTGTATGCTGAGGTGTAATTTTCACTGGGATAGGGCGAAAAACCTCAACTTTTCCAGGCCACTAAATGTGACTGTAATATCCCACGACTTTTCCAGGTTTTCCATGACCACGGCACCCTGTGATATACTCCAAAAAAGGCCAGAGAGGAGTCGTATATTTAATACTTTTTTGGCAGAATTTAGCCTGATGACTAACTTAGTCATTTTCCACTTTTTAAGTTATCATAGTTCCTAAATGTATGTAGAAATTGCCAATTTCTTAAACCAATGTTATGTCTTTACTATTGTTTAGAGCGTTATGTACCAAATTAATTGACCAAAAGAGGTGATGTGTTATGATCTGGGTGGCTTACAGTATCACATCAGCTAAAATAAATTCCTGGGGAAAACCCTGTGTTTAAAACGTGATGGTGGAGGAAACCACGCCAGGTACTGCGCACGCACAGCTGGTCGTGGCAAAAACCTCAGTGGGAAAACAATGTGACAGCAACACACTCAGTCCCATAAATTATTAGCAATGTTTCAACATCCAACTAGTTTTTCCGCAGTATTTTTCAAAGGGCAATAAACTATCATGCGAGTGTGAAACATGCAAATGTTCATACACATTTCTCCTTATAGGGAGCAAGGTTGAAAATACGTTTGTCTGCCTTAGGTATACAAAATATACTTAATTTTGCTAAAGACATAGATCTATCAGTGTTTATTATGGTAATATTAGTAATTCAAAATAAATATATCTCAAAATTACCGCACAGATTGAAGCAGTGGTGTTGAGTCTCTTAAAGGTATGCCTGTGAAATACTCCTTTTATTTAATAGTTTTAAAGATACTGTTAAATGAAATCCAGATGGAACTAACTTATTCTGTTTTAATAATATATCTGTCTCGTGTCTTTATTGCATGTTATAATGTTACATCATGTGAGGACATGTCATATTTTTGCTAAAAGAATTCAACATCTCCCATTTTCTGATGTACTTAAGACTTTAAAGAAAGACAGACCATTTAAGAAAAGCTTCCCATCAGCAGACATATACTGGGGTTTAAAACGTAGTTCACACTACATGACTTAAACCCTGATTTTCGACTCGTGATCAGTTAATAAGACAAAAAGTGCAATTTGAAAACAAATTAAATTTGTTCAAACTGAGCCTATTTAACCAGCAATAAAACACACAACATCTGTGTCCTTGGTATAGTTTGAAAAAAGGGAAAAATGGCTATATTTTCTGTAAGGAACTCTATAGTTTGAAGTTGTGGGTAACAGACAGACTGAAAACAGACAGAAAAAGCCAAATAAAAACTTATCTTACCAATAAAAACCACACACAAGAACCATGACTTTAGTGTCTACAGCACTGATTCTCTCACCAAAACTACTGATTTTAGTAAGAATATTTTCGTGCTCCATTCTCAATTAGATAAACCAAGTCTTGCAGAACCAAAATTTAAAACAAATAAATCACGTGTTGCAGAAATCCTCTGAAAATGATCACCACCATCATGATGTTGCAAAGTAGTGAAAAGTTTTGTGACAGTGACTTACCGAGCTGAGAGTGTGAGAAGGCTGCTGGTGCGGAGATCCTGCTGCAGCCTTCAGGAGTGCTACTGGTGCAGAGAAACTGTGCAGGCTGACTAACATCAGCTCATGACAGCAGGGACAGGTGCCTCACCATCCAGTCACACACTCAGCTGGGATCCTACCAAGCTGCACAGAGGTTTAACCCTTTATTTACTACTCACAAATACATAAATGATTAAAATGGAGACAGTCTATTTTCATACCTGTAACATTTCTGTTCAGTTTGAGAAACCTTTGGGTAGACTTATGCAACATACTACAGATGTGCAACTTATCAAAGAGAGTTTATCACAGAGAGTTTAGTTTTTATCTGTCTAATTACATTATCACTGCTTGGAAGAGCAGAGCAGACTTAAAATAATTTTGAACATAAACCAGTATTATTGCAGATTATGATGGAGTACACAAGTTGGCCAAGTTTCATGAGCTTAGTAATTCATTTCAAACTATACTTCCTCCATTTCTATTTACACTTTTTGTATTTATATGTTTCTATTGTAGCACTCCATGTTTGTTATTGCACTATATGTCTGTACCTTGTCTTGTATCTTGTCCATTGCACATTATGTTCATTTGTTAATTCTTTGGTTTTGCACCAGCACCAGGGAAACACAATTTTTTTTTCTGTGTTCTGTACTGCACTACATATGGATGAAAGACAATAAAGTCTCTTTTATTTCTTAAATGCATGGAAATCAATGACTACTGGATAGGAAAACATACCCCAACACTTAGAGCACCATGGTTTGCAAAAAAGTTAGCTAACTACACACCATCTTTAATTTGTAGTTAAAACATGCAAAACCACCAGCTTGGTCCTTCAAATAAAAAAAGAGGCATTTCTTTTATTAATAGCTGCTAACATTTAATACCCTTCAGATTAAAAGATAAATTAGAAAAACAAACTGTAAACGGTTTCATAGGCTAATGTTACTGTAGTTGTTCGTTAGCTAACGTTAGCCTAGCAAAGCAAGCGGCGGGAATTCACGAGTTAGCATTGGCAGTTAGGCTAACTCTGGGGTTAGCTAGGCAAACGGTTCATTATATTTAAAACGTAAAATGAGATTTTAAAAGAATAGCTAGCATATATAAGCAAATGCGCAGAAAGTGGCCATACTATTAGCGCCTGTTAGCGTAATTATTTGTTTCAATATACAATAAAACTTGTTTACCGATGTAAGCTAGCTGGCTAATTAGCTCGAGCCAACTTCAGTTATAAAGCTAACATTAACGTTACTAATGAAGCCAGACATCAGAGGCTGATAACTGTTATATCGGTTATTGTGAGAATACAGAGGTATTACATTAACGTTACCTGTCTTTCAATGGACCCATTGATTTTTTTTAAAACAGGAGACTGATAACATTAACGTTAAAACTTGACATTAACTTTACCCGGTCTTCCCTTAGCTAAATTCAACTAAGTCTTCTACGGTTATGGTAATACTGTGTCTTGTTACTTAGTGGCTGGCAAAAACTGTAACGTTACACCGATATATCGGTTGGTGACCACCGAGCACCGCATGCACCTCGCGGGAGCGCGCACAGCATAATAATAATAAAGCAAAGTTACCAGACAGCTTAAAGGTTTGAACGTTAAGGGGACACTCCAGGTAAATAGGTTACATTTTGTGACAAAGTTGATTACTTAAAGTAAAAGTTATATTTCTGTGGTACAAGTTCGCTAAAATGTTATGATTAAATGCGCAAATGATTCATTAGCTATCTAATCATCTATGTGCTGATTTGCAATGATTTGTATAGGAGAAATCTGCACACTGGATAAAGAAAGGTTACAAATTCATGTTTCATTTTGTTGATGGATGTAATAAGTCAAAGGTTTCTACAGAGGAAAATTTTGGGTATTTCTTTATATCATTCCTTAAATCAGAAAATACTTTCAGCAGCCTCGAAAAATAAATAAATTTAAAAATAAATAAATAAATAAATACATTTAAACAATAAAATAAAAATCACCATGTTTTTTAAGGAATAGTGTTATATAAATTAGACTATGAATAATATATTAAAATAAAATAAAACAATAAAATCAAATACAAATATATAAATGAGAAAAATGATCGCCATGTTTTTTACGAATAAAATATTATATAAATTAATAATATATTAACAAATCCCTCTGTAAAAACCTTAATTGTTACTGAAGTTGAGATTTTTGGCCCAGAGTATGAGAAAGAAACTAATTTTTAGAAAATGGCCTTTTAAGATATGTATTGTAAAATTCCTTACATTTTTAGACAAAAAGGACACTAGGGTAAAAAATTTAACAAATATCGCTGTGCAACTTTCCCAGTTGATTACTGACATTAAGACAATTATTTATTTGTGTTACAGGTTTTTTCTGAAGTTTGTTTTTACATGCAACTGATGAATTATCTAATCAAATGTTTTTTGCATACATTTCCAGAACATAAATCTGAACTAAAATAAACAGCTAAATGTGTATTTTGGATGTTTTCTTTCCACTGGTCTGTGTAAACAAATCTCAACATTGACACAAATTGACTGAAAGAAGATGTGTAAATAAATCAGAATTGACCAGTTCATGCAAAAACTGCTTTCATCTGGGGTGTCTCACACAAGTACTCACAACATACCTACATAAAATGTAAATAATTTAAATTATGGTTTTATGACTGACATAGTACAGTAAAATATTTAAATGTATGTTTCACACATTCCCATAAACTATTACCACATACAGCAGATTACAACAAACACATGAGAACATGATTTTGGATGTACAGTTTTTAATTGAAGTGTCACAAGCCATTAAGACCAGAAATACAGTACTAACAGAGTGTTGTGGAAACAGTCACATTAAGGTCCCAGTCAGGTACAGGTCCACAGCTACAATGACTGTATTTCAAAGGCAGTGAAACAAATATACAGTAAATAAACACTCAACACACTGATAGATAACTTTAACAGATGAGGAAGTTTGTAAAGAGGACGTTATAATTATAAAGACAAAGTCCTTATAATAAGTTATGGTTTCATTCAGTATGTGAATGAGCAGGGAAAACTATGTACAACAAAATCTACACGTGGTGTTTGAGGAAAACAATCATGGCTACATGACATTTGCAAATCTCACAGATAGAACAATGATAAATATGAAGTGGTGCATTTGTCTAGCTTTAACAACCACAAAACAAAAGATCAACGGTGAACAAAAACAGTACGGTCAATCTAATGGTCTGCCTTACACTGGTAATGTGTCCACTCACATGAGGTCAGCCAAGACAACTCACACAGCTTGATTACTCCGATACCCTGCAGGGTTTGATTGTATCTTTTAGTCATGGAGGGCATTTAAGCAAACATTCACATTGTCAAACATGGCTCTTAGCTGAACATTTCTTTAGTGTTGCATTAAATGTGCTTCCATCTCTCAGAGTGACACGTAAATGCTGTAAATGAGGAATTACAATCAAAATGATGTAGCTTTACACGATACAAGCACCCAAGCAAAGGTCCTGCACGTGTGACATATTCTGATATGAGACTGTCTTTAGACGTGTTATTAAATAAATGAGAACTATCAGTGTTCCAGATGTACATAAATATAATTATTTACAAAACATACACTGTACACTTCTGTACCCTGAACACCTATTTAGTGCCCTTACACAACCTGTTTCAAATCAGTACAGATATGAACACATACACAAGCTTGAGCAAAGTTTAAATTGCATGAAACGTGAATATTTTAATTCAGCCAGTGAAATGCTCTTTATATAAATAGCATCAAGCAAGTCCATTCACACACGTTCACTAGATCACAGGATATTCAGGGTTCATTTCTCGCAAACCGCCACAATTGGGCTCAAAATTGGGACGAGTTTAGAAGAGCAATACTTGGCTCTTGACCCAAACGACAAAGAGGAGACTCCAGAAGTGACATTCAGTCATCAAGACCTCCTCACGCAGGTCACGGTGCTTCAGAAGTCGGGACATTCTTATACAAGGGTTCAATTAACTTCAATCATCTGACAAATGAGTGCAGTTTAATTATTGTGTTTTCCCATTCTCATCCATCAATGTGGTCATAACCTTAACACTGAGAAATGGTAAGACTGCAGGCTTCAAACAACTGGTAAAATCCAGATGTATAATTTCTTTAAAATGGCAACTTTCCGAGTTGCCATGAAAATAAAAAAATACAAATTTGGGATAAACACATAAAAAATTATCTGAATGGCAGATGGTCTTAAAATCTTCTCTAATGTAGAACAGGCTACATTTGAACAAGTGACTGCTTTCATATAATCATGAATTCCTGTCTACCACTCAAACACTTCTCCGCTTTAAGCACCTTTATGTTCATTGGCTCGCCAGTAGAGTAAAACGTGTTATAAAGAGGATGTTTTTCATTTAGTGCACATCATGAATTCACTGCCTCTTATGTCACAGAGGCTGATAAATATCATGCTACTCTAATTAACACGTTGTAACCCTTAGGTATTAGTATAATCATTATTATTTGGGTAAAACGTACTCTTTATAATGTTTTCACAAGGGCACTGTTTGATTGTATTGCACACATTAATTAGGTCCACAGACCGCAATCTTTTCACCCAACATCCTGCTGACTACGCCCAGCGGCCGCTGGACACAACACTTCTGCTGAAGGAGAAACTTGTGTCCGAACTCTTGTGCTTTCCCCAAGCACCAAAGGGCACCACGATAATTGTGCTGTTGTCCTCCGAGCCGTATTGAAGAGCCTGAGAGAGAGGCGGACCATCATGATTAAAAAAAGCATGAAGATGTGCGAAAAGGTTTGCTGACTGGGTGTTTGCTAGCTCTACTCCTTCAACACTTGGAGCAACTGTCTTGGACCTGAGATGACCTAATGCTCCATAGCAATAATGCATTGATTTCTACTTAGATGTTTTTCTATAGAGTTGTATGGGTTGCTTATCCATAGCCAGTGTATTACATACAGAAGATGTCTGTCGGCTGCCCCCAGTTTGGAGAATAGGCAGAAGTGCTGACACGAAAGCTAAGAAATGCACTGCTGTGAATGGGGTCAGCAGCAACACATATTTTTGCCACCTAAAAACAGTCCTACCTAAAAAAAACTCTACAGCAGTTTAGGTGTAGGCTATATTGGGAGTATTTTCACTGCTTTACCTTTCCGTCACACAGCCTGCTGCTCTGCAAGGCAGTCGCTGATGGCTTCAGTTTCCAGCTATGCTGTCTTAAAAGCCACCAGACAAAAACGGTAATTTTGGCTTGCTGAAAACAGGAGCTGCTGGTTTACCACTGCCTAAATAAGTTAGCTTGTGTTTTTGGGTGTCTCTGTTGAATCCGTACTAACCATTTTAGACAGCAAAGCCACTCAAGAACACAAACTAACCTACTGATCGAGGCAGTGGTAGGATCAGCTGTTCTCAACTGCTTCTGTTTTTGGCAATGTCGAATAATCAGTTTTCTCAATTAAGTCTAGCTTTAAAGAGAGCAATATAATGGCTCCATCTTCCCGCTGGAAGTCCCTGTCTGACAGTAAGGTAAAGCAGTGAAAATATTCTACATATACCATGCTATTAAACTGATACTAATTGATTTTAGGTGGGCCTTTTTTAGGTGGCTAGAATATGTTTCAATACTGACCCCTTCACAGTAGTAGACTGCTTAGCTTCTGTGTCAGACTCCAGCCTGATTCTCCAAACTGGGGGCATGTCGACTGACATCCACTGAAGGTAATAACACACTGACGGAATTATCCCCTTAAGGGGAAAATAGATTCTATCAAACAGCTTGTTGCAACAGCATTCAGAGTTTATAATGGATCAATTTTTCGAACATGATGCCTCAGCTTGTTATATGACCATGGCAACCACATAAACCACAGCAAGGGAGACAATGCAGGAGCTGATTTTACTGGTGGCAACCGCCCCCTGTCTAACAGCACCTAAACAAAATAATGGAAATAATATTTATTTTCTGAAAGACTTTCAACAGTGTATATGCTACGAATTAGTCTTTCCATAAAATATTAAGTGTGATGGAAGGGTAATTTCTGTGGACACTTTTGTTGGATTTTGATTGTCTGTCTAACAAAACATATAACTTTAATCCTAATAAATACATAAAGCTGTCTGCCACAATTCAAAGATGCCTGCCGATAAACTTATGCGCTTGGTAAGGCAGAAAAGCCATGGCCATTCAAATCAGAAGACTCTTCTACTTTACATACAACATGATGGTGTAGTTAAAGGCCAAGTGTGAATGTCTCACCTGGTCAGATATTCTCTGAGCTGCCTCCTTGGGGTCGTGGCACTGGTTGATGACATTGCAGATCTCCTGGCTGTTCATAATGAAGTTAACGCCGTCTGTGGTTAGTGCCAGGAAAGCGTCGTGGACATGGTGTAACTGAGGAGAGAACAAGCATCATTAAGAAACCTTTCTCACTTTTAAAGACTATTTTCCACCAAGCAGTGCTGAATTATTGTTATAAAGTCTTCTTTTCACTGCATGGTATGGCACAGCTCGACTCGACCCGCTGAGTTAAAGCACTACAGATCACTGACTGTCAGAGAGAACCATCACTAGAAACGTCACTTGTGTGACACAGGACATCCTGCACATTAAAAAACAGACAGCCTGCAACGTGGCTATAACAATCAACTAAGCACCCCACCTAGCAGCCCACACTGAGGGGGAGATAAAACCTAGGAAAGTTGTACAAAAGTTGTACAAAAATGGGACTAGTAGAGCGGGCCCTAAAATTCTAAATCAATACCTAATTATACAGTGTCTTCATAGACAAATTAACAAGTTGATGACGATGTAAATATGTGGTTATACAGAATTAAAATGTTTGCATGTAGGAGAATGTCTTTACAAAAATATATGTATCTAGAAGTGCAATAATTATCTTAACTTTTTACATCATCACTATTACGATGGAGATAAAATATGCAAATAAACAACGTTTATGTTATGAGTGTTTGTTAAAAGTCTGTGTTAAGGCTCGTTTATACTCCCTTTAAGTACCGAAAGATATGTTAACCATCACTGGCCACATACTTCTGTGTCCTTTATGTTGGCATAGATGCATCCACTAGATGGCACTAGAGTCAAAAGTTTCTGAGAACTACAAACATGGTGACCGTGGAGAAGGCCATTTAACAGAGGCAGCGTTGTAGATGGAAGTGGTCTGTGAAGCCATTAAGTACATTGTGACATGTGGACGTATAAGTCTTTCGCTACATTCCACCATTTTAAAATGTCTTTGTTTTGTCCTACGGTCCTGTCTCGCTTGAACTATGCTACACCGCCCCACCATTTCCAGTGGCTCTGCTTCATATCCATAAACTTCCATAAATACAAACCATTACATTGTTGGACAATCATTATCAACAATAAAAAGATTCTACACATGTTGTGTTGAGAAGCTGAATTTTTGACAGTACCGCCCCTTATAGCTAGCACACATTATTTAGGTTATATACACATTATTAAAATCCTGTATAAATCAGCCTGAAACACTCAAACACATAAAATATCATCTAAAGGTGCGACAAGCTCCACTTTAATAAACCTACCGTTACTCTCCTGGTTTCAGGCTCAGCAATGACCCCAGTTTTCTTCAGGTCAAAGTCTCCGATACTGCGTGTCATAGCCAATCTGCCGTTGACGTTCGACTGTCCCAAACTATTCCACGTGATGAAGCCCCCACTTCTCTTTATCCTTGAGGCAGGTGCAGAGAAAGAGAAGTACATACCTTACTTCAGCTGACAGAGAAAGAGCGATTTTAACAATAACAGTAACACTATAATTCTCATTACTGTAGATACAACTCCATCAGCACCAATAACACCACCTTTAAATGTATGGCATTACTGACGTCTTTGTACCTCTCTTTCTCGTCCTTCCTCTCAGGAGTGTGGTCGTCAGTCAGTTTAAGCGCCTTGCCCTTGCGGCAAAGCATGGCCCGGCTGTCACCCACACTGCCCACCACCAGCTCAATGCCGTCCCTCAGCAGGGCCACGGTGGAGGTGGTTCCTGCGTTCACCCCGGGTACTACAGAGACATAAAAGGACACATCAGAGGAGGAACGAACCATAAAGATCCACACATAGAGTCACGGTCCACATTGTTCACAACATCCACATGGTGTATCTCACACGCTCACATCCACACATTAAAACATGAGCACATGGGTGAGAGTCAGATAGTGGAGCTAGAGATTACACAGTAAACAATAGAGGAGGCAGTCACACATGCATGTCGAACTGTTTCAGCACAGAGTTGAGGTCCAGAGCAGACTTTACAGCAGAGTTAAGTCTAAGGCTGAAACTTAAAATAATGAATGTTAACTGACACTTATCAGTGCTCAGTACTGATCTTAATATACCAAAAAATAACACATAAACTGATGCAAAGAAAGAAACTACTTCTAATACTTCCTGAGAGGGTTGGTTTTACTTCTATGTTTTGCATGCATTTGTCCAGAGTTACAAATGTGAATAATTCAGCAATAATCTGTCATAAGGAAAGTGATATCAAATAATTACTTGGTGTTTAGTAATAGTAGTGCAGGGAAACATTAAGATGTCTTTTAAACAGTAAACTCAGGAAAATGGTTCCAGCCAACTTTATCTGGCAAAGAGTATTGGAGCAGCAGATATTTAAGTTCCTTAAGGGCTTGCAAATTTAATAAAACAACATCAAACGTCACTAAGTGGATTAATCTGCTGATATTTGTTGTGCTGCTTTAGACATTTCTATCTCCAAAGAGATAAATGAGATGACTAGCTTGAGATTTTAAGCTATGTGTTTGTTTCATTAGCCTAATATGCATGTTAAACATGTTACATCTCATGGACACTGACGACATACATCTCATACAACTAGTTAAACTGAAGCACTGTCTCACAAGAAGTTTTGTAAACACTTGGTGAGAGAAGAAAAGGAAGAGAGAGAGAGAGAGAGAGAGAGAGAGAGAGAGAGAGAGAGAGAGCGGAGTTAGAGAAAGATAGGGAACCTTCCAGTAGTCCAGGATTTAGGACCCGCTGGACTCTCCTTCAATATCTAGCCTCTCGTCATCCACATTGGTGCCAAGGGCCTCCAGCTCTTAGCTGGGTCAGCAGCTGCCGTAGATAACATGCACACACACACACAAGCATATTGGGACATTTCACACAGCGTGGCCGATGTATGGCCACATTACATGTATACTAGCTTTTATATCAATCAGACATAATGCTGTTTGAAAAAAAGTCAAGCTAATTTTAAAAGTTTCTAAATGACAAGGGCAAACCAGACCACATAATGTACTGAGAGAAATGCTTTGCATTCATTTGTTTGAGCGGTGCTCAAATTACCCTGAATATCAGTTTCAATGCCCATGCTAAACAGTATACTTTGCAAATTGTGAAATAACACATCAACAGTTGGGTGACATATTAAAGGAAAAAACAACATTAAGAGTCTTTGTGAAGTGTTGGATGCCCACAACAGCTTCAGTGTTTATTGGCGTAGACTCTACAAGTCCCTGGACCTCTACTGGGAGATATGTGTGCCATTCTTTCAAAAGATATTCCCTCATTTTGGGTCTCCCACTGGTAGTGGAGCACACAATCTCCCACTTGTGTTTGTCTGGATTGGGATCTGGTGACTGTGAACACCATTCAGTGACTGTTTGTGCTCTTTCACGGAAAGAGCCACATTCAGTATGTTTATCCGCACATGAACTAAGGTTTTTCCTTTAATTTGTTGCCTTTCTGTGTGTGTAGATGAGTAGTGAAGCAGTGAAGCACTAGCGTTTGCTCTACTTGTAGCTGACTTATTGAGTAACTTTGGGTTAAATGACAGACCTCTGACCAAAAGATCTCAGGTCATGTCAGTTGGGATATCCAAGGATTCAAAGCCTAGGTAAGATAAGTAAGTTAGGCTTTAAAGAGAGAAGAAAAAAAAGTGGCATTACATAAACACATGTACGTATAAATATTGACAGTTTATCTATGTCCATGTAACATAAAAGAACCTACCACTTGGAGAGAAGTGTAAGTGCCTTGCAAGAGCTTTGTCTATTTCAAGGAAGGCCTTCGTTAAAACTACTTCCAGATCAGGCACGTCTGCCACAAGGTCCCTGAAACAACAACCAAAAGACGACATTGATCAGAATGTCAGCTACTGTGAATATCTAATAATTTCAGACGTTGAAATTGGGAATCAGTCAATTAATTTCCTGTGACAAAGACTGGTTTGGATAGGTGATAACAGCATATTTAACAACTTCCTTACTTGATGAATTTTTCCATGTATTTTTCACAAAAGTCAGCTGCCTCTGGTCCGCCATGCCCATCAAACACAGCAAAGTAAAGGATGTTGTCAGTCAACTGGGAAACCTTGTAACGGTCTTCATTCTCCTTGCGCTGGCCGATGAGCGAGGCACAGCCTACCTTTGATAAGCTGACTTTGGGAATGGGCTTGCCGTAGCGAATGCTGGGAGGCAGCAGGATAGGCTCATCTATACGATTGTCCCAGATGCCAAATGAATCCCAGGTAGTGGGGCGGCCACTGCTGTCCGGATCAAAGCGCGTGTTGCTGGGCCGACTTCCTGAAGGGCTGTAAATTTGTCTCTTGAAGAGTGTTAACTGGAGGTGGCTGTACTGCAGGAACGGGAGTGGGACCATCTGTAAAAGACTATTACGTCCCACTTGAGGACCACTGCACCTTGCTAGGCGCGCGAGACAGGTTGCTGACATCACCCTGACAGCACAAACACCGGAGAAGCACTGGATGCAGAGGTAGATGTATCTTCTGTCCAAACAATTGAGAAAAATAGGACAGTTAGACTGGACACTGAATTTTTATGAACATCACATGCTTGCTCAGGACATACCAGAATGTCTAAAATGCTGCAGCCGTTGCTACCAGCCCTGTGTTATGTGTGTTAAAAGTCTTGGAAAATCACTCAAGATCATTAAGTGAATCATTGATTGATGGGTAAACACTTGAGATTCCTCTGATCTCAATGAGGTTTTTTTGGGGGGAGTTTTTCCTTATCCGCTGTGAGGTTCCTAAGGACAGAGGGGTGTCGTATGCTGTAAAGCCCTGTGAGGCAAACTGTGATTTGTGATATTGGGCTTTATAAATAAAACTGATTGAATTGATTGATTGATTGATTGAATGAAGCACAGGTTGAAGCTCCAATTTGTTTACAAAAGGTGCTTAAAATAGTGACCTAGTTAAGAACAGAATGTGCAGTCCTTTATGACAGGTCTTGAATAAAGCTGAAAGAGTCGTCTGACTGACAGAATATGTATCAATAATTGTTTTTATAATTGATTAAATGGTCATGTCCGATCATTTAGACAGAAAAAGACAAATATTTGCTCTTCCTTACTGTTACTTGGCCTACTATTTTTTCTATCTTATTATATACATTTTACATTATTTACGCTCTTTCCTACTTTGTATTGTAACTGCTGCACAACAGTTCACTTAAGCATAAATTTAGTTTTACTTGAAAACAAACCGATTATCTTAAGGTTTAATCTCCTTTCCTTTGGCCCTGGGAAGTTGTGATGAACATTTCACTATTTTCTACACACAATAAAATAAATAAAAAAAATAAGATTGATCAAAAATGAAGAGCTAGGTGCAGCCTCATATCGCTTGAGTTTACATCTTTAAAATCTGACCCCAAATAACCCTATTACACATGCATAGCTTTGAGCACTTTGCGTTTGTCAACTGATCTATTGCAAATCTTACTATTACATGACCCCTGTTTTATTAACGTACCTAAATCACTGCTAATGTAAACATAACATTTGAAAACAATCGGGAAATAATAAATACACTCCATCTGCGACCTTTCTATCCAACAAGACCCAAAACGTAGCAGTAGCTTTAGCGCAATACATATTTATTACAGCAACATTAACGTTAACATCGACGTTAACGCCACATGAATGATGCAACTCCTGATAGCTGATTGCGCTAACAGTTCACCAGCATCACGATAATATAAACACAAGCGCCACCACGGTTGCGCCCGTGTTTCGGTAGAAATATTTCAACAATAACAATCCTATTGCATTTACGAAAAGCGCAACTGGATTAACGTTAAGGTTAGCTTTCCGCTTCGGCGGTATTAGCATTAACGAGCTAGCTAGACGGCTAGCATTCTAAATTCATGCTAGCATTAGCTAGAAGTTCGCAGTTTGTCCCACATAACCGAGCCCATCCCTTTGACCTTTCACTGGTGTGTTAAATAAAAGTCATACCTTAGATGTTTAAGATTAGTTAAACCGCTTCAGTCCGCTGATTTCTTGAGAATAACTCACTAATAAACTGAATTAAAAACCGACGTCCTCAACCCGTCTCAGTGTTTTGGATTCTCAATGTTATCAAACACGGCCTGTGATCAGGCCGCGCCAATCAGCAGCCCAGAATCTTCTACGCCCACTGTTACGCCCCAAGCACCCTGCAGATGATTGGTCGTTGAAACCGTGATTGACAGCTGTATGGACCAATCAACAATCTGCATAGTTGGCCTCCCGCAGAGCCGTAGCATAGACAGAGGGCTCCGACCTCCATCAGCCAAAGGAGCATTTACTTTTATTACATGTTATTTTTAGTACTAAACGTAGCTTTTATGGAGTTTGACTGTATGATTTCAAATCAGTATAAAACAATATAAGATACACAGGACAAACCTCTTCATATTGGACTTAATATAATAAATAAGTACACATCTATCAGGGCAAATACAGGAACAGCTGAACATGCAGTGGTATAGTTTACATGTATAGCAATCTCAAAGACTAATTTGTTCTTAGATTTGAACCCTGTAATCAGTTCTCCTCATTCACTGACTTCATGGATCCACACACTGAAATCTGTGTCTGTTTCAGGCTCCACTGTCCAATCATTCAGACCCTACATTCTTCCTTACCTGTGGTTATTCATGAGAACTTGGGTATTTACAGCAGCCCATTGCTGTGTGAAATAAATGTTCTGTTTCATCCTTACATACAGGACAATACATGTGGGAAAAATCAAAAAGATGTTGCTCAACTTACTTATTTTCAAACATGAGGTATTCAGGCCAACTATCTCACAATGATAACCAGTTTGGTTGCACAGTCTAAGCCTGAAACTTATCAGAGGGCAAATACTGGTGTCTGTGCTTTTACAGTAACTCAGCTGTATCTTGTCGAAGATGCCTTTCTGTTTTGGCTAATGGTTGACAGTGACCTTTAGAGAGACATGCTAATGGTGCACAGTGGAGCCTGTGCACATAATATAGTTTTCTGTTGCAAGCCTGAATAGCCTGTAAATCAAAGATCCGTTGCTCTCTGCTCTGCTAATAGGACTCCATTAAGTTGAAGACTGAGGGACTGTGTTATTGTCCATCTATATCCAGAGCAGGACAGCACAAACGGTCTGTAAGTGCAGACTTTATGGGTACTTTTGTAACAAATGTCTAACTGTACTTCAGCTTGAGATATAAGAAGTAATTTTAAGTTTGTCTGTATATTTTGAGTAGCTTCCAAGCATGAGCAACTTTATTACTTCTGTCAAACAGGTCAATTTTATTAATATAGCCCAAAATGACAAATCACAAATTTGCCTCAAGGGGATTGTCAATCTGTAGAGCATATGACACCCTCTATCCTTACACCCTCAATTCATAAAAGGAAAAACTCCCACCAAAAACCCTTTAATGAGGAAAGAAAATGGCCGAAACCTCAGCTGAGGGGAGACCAACTAAGGAGGAATCCATGTATTAGATGCCATGTGTACAGAATAGACCAACATAATACAATACACAAGCCTACTTTTTCAGCAGCAGCAGCACATTGCGAAAATCACATTAAAAGAAAAATGCAGATTCTAGTTTTAATGTAGGCCTGATTCAGATAATTTTACACTAGAGGACTTAAGAGTTAGATATTGACATGTTAGAAGTCACTTTCAAACAGCTCTATACACTACAGTTTCCCTTATAACAACTATTAAAATCTGTGTCTCTTTCTGTGTCTATTGGTTATTATTTTCTTAACAGCTATCTATCAAAATGAGTGACACTGCCTTAATACTGTGTAGACACCATTTTGCAACAGCTGCCATCAAAATAAAATCTGTGATACAGTAAGATAGAGACGTTTGCACTGGAAAAAGTCCAATAGGACTCACAGAGCTCAGAATGTGATGGGTCACAGAATTTGTTGTAACACCTACACTTCCTGGTCGGCGGGCCAATCGCAGCTCTCCTGCTAGTGACGTAGTCAGTTGTGGTACTTCCTCGTTTGTTTTCTGAGCAGAACCGAAACCAGACGCCCAATTTCAGAATGCATCTGTGCAGGTAAACACCTTATTTTAATTTTGGATGAATCATCTATATATCAGCACTGTTTTATGTACAGTTTAGACATCGGTTATCCAGCGGGTGTCTGTGTTTTTAGCCATAACACTGACAGTTAGCGCTGCTGTAGCTCGCTAAGGTTAAATAGCTAACTATTAACTGTAACGGCTGGTGTGGGTCATCAAACTGTCTGTTCTGGTTCCGTTTAGTTAGTGAACTGTTCAACCAGCTAATGTCATGACGGATATTCAGCTACGCCTGCACACTGTGTTAATAATGTCTACACAACGCAGGCCACTCCTCTTCGCTCTCTCCCTAACAGCAAGCTAACGTAACCTTAAATACATGTCCTCACAGATGATAATGCTGGACCACTGTACAGTAAACACAGCTGACTGAACGGGATCCATGTTAAAGTGACTGTGATGTTTGATAATGACAATGTAACCCACCTGCAATTAACATGGATTCAAACAGTCCATTGGGAGATGAAGTTAGGGGCGTTATGGTGAGCTAAAATTAGCTATGATAAAGTTTTCATGTTTTATTCAGTGTTTACTTACTGTGGTCTCACAGCTTATTTTCATTACTGTCTTCAGGGTGTCTACAGATATAACCAAGTTAAATTTAAGAATTTTAAAGACCTTTTAACACCACCTTACATGAAATTTAAGACCACACCTATACAT